GCGGGAGAGGCCACGACAGTGAGAGGCCCGCGTACCAAAAAAAAAAAAAAAATGCGCCAAAACAAGGAGAGCAGAGTTAGACCCACAGTCCTCAAAGGAGGGTGTGGGTGTTTGGGTCGAGAGGAGCAGAAAGGCATTAAGTCTGGGAGAAGACAGGGAGGGAGGAAAAGAGAAGAGGTCAGATAAATGTCTATGAAATAACACCCATCAACAATGATAACAAGTATAAAAGAATCTTTCTTCCTTTTTGAGAAAGACAAAGGGAATTTTAAGTAGGATTAAGTAGTAGTAGCTTTCAGAACTCAGCAGAAGCAATAATAACTACATAAATAGCTAAGGGGATGGCAGGAATTACTTCACTTTGGAATTCGGCCAGCATATCAAAGTTAACAGTAATATCACATCTTTTTGAAAGCTTTCCTGAGATTCTAGGGGGGAGATCATCTCAGAAAAACTGTACCAAGTTAATTTTAGGAAGAGGATGCTCCTCACTGCTTGAAGACATTCTATCTCCCAAAAATTGATAAGACAGAAGTTCTAGCCTGCTGGAAGCACTCTCTTATCCACGTAAATACATTGCCAGTATTGCCCCCAACGGATGCAATTATGTTTACAGATTACCATCGCCTAATGTAAAATTTGACTCAAAACATAACCCACAAAGGATGCTCTAAATGCCGCAGAAAGGACCTGTGGATATCCCACTTTCAGAGTTCTCTAACTTTTGGACTCATTGTGAATGGTTAAGACGTAAACCTCGTAAGGCTAGATTTTGAAACACGCACAACTGTACACATTCATTTCTGAATTAAGTGGAATTGGGCAAATTGGAAATATAATGTTCAAACCCTGGACACCTCTACTCATGAATATCCTGTAGGTTTTTCCTCTTATGTACATTTCCTCTTTGACCATTAACGTGCTGACCATCTTCTTTGCTTCCCAGAAATAGAGATAAAAACTGGGTGCTGATGGCAATTTGGGGTACAAGTATCTTCTCTCACCATCTGGAAACATTCATGCGTTACTGTTTCCCAAAAAAATAAGTTAGAATATTGCGTTCTTTATTTATTTTCCACCCAGGGACAAGTTATTTTAGTATCACTCACAATGGAATTTGCATGAAAATCTGTTTACTGACCCCATTCCATAAGGGTGCATTTGCCCTAGCACTTGGAGTAAACACCATTTTCATTGCACTAGAAATAGTTCTAATTGGGCAGATTGTTACAATTTTAGCAACACCCAAATAGATCAAAGGAGTATGCAGCAGACATGCCACCAAGTCTGGATTATACAGCAACCCAGTTCAGTATGCCTGAAATAAGTATTCCTTATACACCATCAACAAATGCTGAAAGAACATCTGTAGACATCAAAATTTTTTGGAAAATATGAGTTTCAAGAAACTGATGATTCTGAAAACAGTATGTTAAAGAGTTATGTGATTAATTGCTAATTTTATCATATATATAGTATATATGTACATATATATCATATATACAAATATACATAAAGAATGGAATTCATTCATTTCACTAACTGGTAACTTTTCATTAATATGATCTAAACATGTGGATGATCAAACAATAACATTCAGAATTCAAAACTATGCACCTTGGGGCTTCCCTGGTGGCTCAGTGGTTAAGAATCTGCCTGCCAATGCAGGGGACATGTGTTCAAGCCCTGGTGCGGGAAGATCCCACATGCCGCGGAGCAACTAAGCCCATGCGCCACAACTACTGAGTCTGCGCTCTAGAGCCCCCGAGCCACAACTACTGAGCCTGTGTGCCACAGCTACTGAAGCCCGCACTCCTAGAGCCCGTGCTCCGCAACAAGAGAAGCCACCGCAATGAGAAGCCTGCACACCGCAACGAAGAGTAGCCCCCGCTCGCCACAACTAGAGAAAGCCCGCACGCAGCAACGAAGACCTAATGTAGCCAAAATAAATAAATTAAATAAACTAAAAACAAAACATTAAAAAAAACACACACAAAAACTAAGCACCTTGTAACATATACCTGAATGAGAAACACATCAGGTACTCTGCGTATAACTTCTCCTTTCAAACCTTTCTATAAACTGCCTGCTCTTTAGATCCCATTATTCATTGACACACAAACTCCTCTCCAATAAGCTGAACCTCTGCCCTATTCTTCACACACCTCCATGCCACTCTCTGCTGACCCATCCTTGCCCTCATTTCGGATGCTTTCTCAAATCTTTCTTGTTATCAAACACTCGCCTCCTCCACGAAGCTTTGAATTTTACTTGAACTTACAGTCATACATTTTCTGAACTTCCTCAATATCTATGTCCAAATTTAACACTTAATCGTAGGATTGTTTTGCTCTCTGCTTATGTACGTGTATGTGTATCTCTTTTTCCCAATTAAATCACATGATTGAAAGGTAACACCTCCCTCTTAAGCCTCTCCCTAAAGTTTCTGTCAAGATCCTACTCCACATTTAACTTCGCTTTCCCTTGATAGTTCTTCTGACTGCTACGTTTATCTGAAAACATGCTTAGGGTTTCCCTGGTGGTGCAGTGGTTGAGAGTCCACCTGCCAATGAAGGGGACATGGGTTCGTGCCCCGGGCTGGGAAGATCCCACATGCCGCGGAGCGGCTGGGCCCGTGAGCCATGGCGGCTGAGCCTGCGCATCCGGAGCCTGTGCTCCGCAGCGGGAGAGGCCACAACAGTGAGAGGCCCGCGTACTGCAAAAAAAACCCAAAAAAAACAAAAAACATGCTTAAATGTGCCCTCTCTTAAAGAAACTTCTGAAAGCCTGCTTCTTTCTCAAGCTCTCCCACCATGTCTACTTTCTTTCTCTGTCAAACTTCTTTGAAAAGCATTCTTTCCTCTACTTCTATGCACACTCTATCTCCAGCCCTCTCAACCTGAGTCTCCCCCTGCGCGCACCCCATCTTCTCTCCTGACTCCCAGTTCATCTCCTTCCCCAACCGCAATGCTCATTTCCTCTTCTGGCTCATCCCCTAGAGGCTCAAGTTGTCATCCATCACATCTGCACAATTTCCTTCAGCAACTGCCTCTCTGTCCTCGTCTTTAACTTCCAGGTCTCCACCTGCCACTCCCTAATCTGTATTTTTAGTGCAGCACACAATGTGGGGTGCCAGACCTTATGCTGCCACCTGCTGGGGAGTTCCATGAGGCGAGCTTAGAACCAAATTCAAGGTCGTCCCTCCACATCTACCATCCGTGCTGTCCTTTCTGTTAAGTAATTCTCCTAGACCTAGTTGTCAAAGATTTAATATTCAGAACCTCCATCACTTACCACCACCTCCCCTGCATTAATCACTCACTGTGTACTGTAAATACTACCTACTACAATCTCTGCACTCTGTGTTCCACCCCTAACTAGCACACCTCATTTAAGCTGTGACTGCCCATTACAGGGGCTACTGGATGGGCCCTGATTGACCTTTCTCCTTTCTCTCCCCTGATCTCCAACCCTCCCTACCCTTCTGCCAGAGGAATCTTTTTGAAACAGGTATCTGAGCAGTGCCTTAAATGAAAAGCCTCATGTAATTCTACCCTACAGGTAGGATAAAGCCCCAACTCCTCAGCTCTGGAGCTTCTAGGAAGAACTCCAAGGTCCTGCATGAGCTGGCCTGTCTCTTTATCCTCTTCTTTCCTCACTTCCCCTCTCACTCCCTATCTTCACTCTCACTCACTCCAGCCTCCCTGACCTTTTTGTACCTGTACCTTGAACCAAAGAGGCTTGCCCTGGATCCTAGAATGGGCTGCCCTCATATCTTCACGTGGCTGACGACACCGGCCACTCAGGTCTGGTCTCAAATGTCACCTCTAAAGCATCCTGACCAAACGATCTACAGTAACTGCCACCGTCCCTCCCGAGACCACCTGGTCACTCTTTTCACATTTACTCTGTTGTATTTCTCCGAGGCACCTGGAAGTCTCTGTTCCTTTATACATTTACGTATTTAGTGTCTGTCTTTTCACACTCAGATGTAAGCCCTGTGAGCAGGAACTTTGCCTCACTTCACTTACCCCAGTTCCTGGAAGTCACATCCTCCACAGGGGGGCCCCTATTTCCACATCCCCATCCTTGCTCCATTTATATGGCTGCTCTAGCACTTATCAGATTACATCTCTTATTTGAACAGCTATTTCCAAAGGAAGTGAATCACGGGCAAGGAGGTCATATCAAAATGTCCGGGCCAGGGGGTAAGCAAGGGAGGGGTGTCTGGTTATAAGATGCTCATTCAGTGTAGAAGATTTTAGTGTAGAAGACTTATGCATCTTTGTTAAAATTACCCCTAACTTTTTATGTTCTTTTTAATCATGCTGTACATATTTCATTTTCTATGTGTTAGTTTCTAATATATATATATATATATAAAAATGGATTTAAAGGATGTTTATATTGACCTTGTATCTTGAATTGATCTCACTAAATGTACTACTTAGTTCTAAGTCATTTTTAAAACTCCATAGATGTTTCTACGTACATAATCATGTTTCTGCAAATAAAAAGTTTCATTCTAACCCTCAAAAAATGCACATTTAATATCACTATTATTTTTCAGCACAAGATATAGAAAGTAGAGCATCAAAAAAAATCATAGCTGATAGAGCTGTGCAAGATATGGGGAACATGGACTGAAATAGTTGAAAAACACTGTCTTAGAGCAATTTGTTATGATCTGTCATCCTCACTACATTTTGAGCTCCTGGTGAGCAAAATCATGTCTTGCTTATTTGTAAGTATCCCACCAAACCTAATAAAGTACTTTGCCTAAAGTAGGCACTCAATAAATGTTTTTTTAAATAGAATTAAAATATCCCAGTGTTGGACACATGCCCCATGTTCAGTACATACTGTCCATTGACTGTAAGAACCAGTGAGCACACCTAAGTCTGTTGAACGATCAATGTAAGCTCAGCCCCGTTGAGAAACTATAACAAGAGACGTGAGGAAGTAGAAGATACCGTCATCATTATCCACATAGAAAAACTTCATTTCTCAGATAATGATAAAACAAATGCACCAAGGAAAACATTGAAGTGGCTACCTGTGCATTTCTTTACGTGACTGTTCCTTTTTCCATGTGATCCTAACTTGCATCCAAAATTCTCCTCCCAGAATTCCGCAAACCATACATTTCTTCGATTATTGGCAAGAGTTCGGCTTCTAAAGTATCGATCGAACCCTATTTTAAAGAAGAAAGGTATGATTTTAATATTCGTCCAAAATCAAATACCATCAGAGCTTTTGAATAGATATTATATTATGTTGTGATCATTGCATGAAAACATATGTATAACAGATGGGGGAGGGCAGCCAATAACCCAGCATTAAGGCTTCCCTTGTGGCAAGAGTCAATGGGGATCAGTGTACAATATCTCCACTCCCACCATTCACCATTCAGGCACCTGACTCTAGGGATGTACACAGCAGGTAAGCCTGTTGGGTGGCATCCGCACCACCTCTGTCTCTCCTCTGTGTCTCCCAGCGGCAGCAAGCAGTGACCTCATGCTGAATATTCAAAACCAACTCAGACTTTTCTCATTCTACTCTCTCTCCCCTAGCACAAGTCAGTGTTCCAGGCTTCCGTGCTTCTACTTGCCTCAAGGTTTATCTGTCCTGCATGTTCCATTTTCAGCTAATTCAATAAACTAATCACTACTAATGTAATCTTCTGGAGTCATGGGTAATGGGCTAGTGTCATTCTGCTCAGGTAACCAACTCACTGAAGGGAGACCACCTGGAAATAGTGCCTTATTCCCAAGGATAATGGCAAAGGTAGGAATTTCAATCACTGTCGAGATCATTGGAAAAGATATTTGGGAGACAGACTGCCTTTCAGAGATGCTCCACATCTTTGCTGTTGCATTTATTTACCCATAGAGCCAGGCCAGCATCATGTCTTCATTTGCTATAAAGCAAGCACCCTCCTTCCAACAATGCTATAACCATTGTATACACCCATGGAAATATGCAAACTTAGAGGGCAACTACTAACATCACGGAGATATCCAAGGCCAACAGCAGTGCCCCCTAAAAAAATATCTAGTGGGTACTCTTTTCTAATAAAAAAATATATATATATACAATATGTTGAGTTAAACAGTTACTGTCTTGACCATTCTGCCATCAGCCCTAAAAATTCTATCGAGTCATTAATAATGGATTCATCTCATCGTATGCTGATACCCTGATTTTGCTTTTGAGTTTAGATTCAGTTGGAATGAAGCAAATTCTCTACAGTGCATCCTTACCATCAATTGACGCTCTTTTGGGCAAAATAGTCACAGCCCCTTCTGCAATCTCCTCCTGCTGATAAACAGGTGCTATTTTGGATCCCCAACTATCTGAGCCAATCCAGAGAAAATGCCCACTTTGGTTTAATTTTTTCGCTGCTTCCAATATCCTCCTATTGGAATAAAAAGAAATAGAACATACCACATTTACCAAGAAACTCTACACTTGTGAATGTTACAAGACCAGCTATATGAAGTCATAAACACTCAGTAGGTCACCATTAAACAACCAGTCAATCATTCTAACTGCCTGAGTCTTATCATCTCCTAAAAGGAATATATTGGAGACTTTAACTCCAGCAGCTGATAATTAGCCTTATCCTTAACCTCATTCACATCATTCTGTTTATCATCGTTATTTGTCTCATTTCTTTCAGTCCCCAGGCTTTACTTGATAAACAGATTGGACTGAGAAACTAGAAGGCTGTTGTCTCTATGTAGCAGAAGGCAGTCTGTAGTTGCATGAGAATGTTGCAATTCCTATGAAATCTCACAAGGTTTTACATTGAACATGAAATATGTCAGAAAAAGGATGTGGGCTGCAAATCTGATCCTACATGAGGAAGAAAAGCAATCAGCACCTGATGTCATCTTCATTAGCAAACATAATCACTGCCCGAGCATTAGGTGTTTCTAGCAGACGCTTGATTATTTTTTCAAATTCTCCAGGTCTTGGTTCACGTGGGATTTTCTGTGATTGAGCAATGCAAACACCACCTATTAAAAAAAGAAAGAAAGAAACAGAGAAAGTGATTAGGAAAAGACATTTACTTAACACACTTAATGAGGTTAGCTACTTTATTAAAAACACGTGACTCAGTAAAGGATATTGTTTCTCAAAATATCTGTCATTCTCACTTACTAAAAGCAATCACTTTTTTGCATTATATGTATCAAATAAATGACATCAATAACTTAATCATACATCAGAGGTTTTTTCCAAGTTTAAACATTATTTTTGTGGATGTCTTTAAAAAAAACCGAAGTGTACAAAACGTGGGACAAGAGAGAAAGAGTGGAAAGAAGGCTAAGGATAAGAGTCTGGATTAATAAAAGGTCTGAGTATGTCTTGTAGGTGAGACCACCTGTGAGGAAGGAAGGTCCTTTTGCTAATTTTATTTATCAGTAGACTTCCTTTAAGGTTAATTTCCTTTTTTGAGCTCATAGTATTGCAGCAAGATTCTTATGCAGCACCATAATATGTTACGAGACAAGTGGTCTTCAAGACTGAGACACTAGCCAAGTTTCAAAGACACAAACCCTCAGTTGACATATATCTTCACCATGAAAATCAAAATGGCAGAAATCCCGTCCCACTCACACGGAAAAAGACAAGAACTCTTCTTTCAGCCTCTCCTTTTAAAGCAACATGAAGCCAGAAAGAAAAGTTTAGAAAAGATCTCTGCCCCCTGCCGATGGGCTGGGCTAGGAGGAGAAGAAGGAGGTTTCCTTTGTTTCAGCGGTACAGTTATAGCATATTCTGATACTAGGAGAAAAAGCAATATTAGCAAGATGTTTCAATTGCATTATGGTTTAAGCAGGCTTTTTGAGTCGCTTGACAAGAAAATCATCATTTATTTATAGCATTGCTTCAGTAGGCAAAGGCATGTCTTCTTCTAAACAGTTGACAATGCATTCAGTCACCCAAACATTACTGGATGCCATTATATGCTATGCATTGGGCTGGACACTAGGAATGCGTAGTCTAATCCAGCAGTTACCAGCTAGTCTGGGAGAGGGGCATTCCAATAAATTATCATGGAACATGTAATAAATTTTAGAATGGAGAGAGTATACCACAGTTTGGGAGCACAGAGGAAGGAGTAACTCAAGTGCTTGAGAGAGCTGGATTTTAAATGGCAAATATACATAAACATAGGGACAAAAATGGGACATTTCTGGTAGAAGCCAAGGTATGAAAGAACCTTGCTTGATCGTGACCTATGGTTGAGACTGGCTGGGGCTGAGCTTGGAAAGAATGGACAGGTCCAGCTTGACAATGACTTTGTTATACACGCCAAAGAATTTGGATTTTATCTTGAAAAGGATGGGAACCCACTGAAAGCTCATGAGCAGGAGAATTACATGATGAGCTGTGCACTTTGGGAAGAAACCTCAAGTAGGCAAACAAAGAAGAACCATGTGGTAGCCAGACAAGGGGTGTCCCGTGTGTTGTGATAAGATTTAACATACGTGACAATACTGTATGAATAACAGTGCTAGAGTACTGAAGGTTATTTTCTGTATAAGTTAGAGCACTGCCAAAGTTATCCCTGCAATAGAAATACCCTCACTAACCCTACACTATGCTCTTCAGGGGTGGGAATTGCCCATAATCCACAGACAGAGCCTGTAGTTAGTCAGTCTACTGATATGCCATGAATAGTTGTGATGGTTGATTCATTCCTTCAGTAAATATTTATGGCGTGCCCACTATCTGTCAGATACCATGTGGGGCATGTGGATTTACAATGGTGAATAAAATAGACACGGCCCTTGCCTTCACAGAGTTTAGAGATGTTATGGGTAAAACAGGCTTAATGCAAAACAAACCCGCAAAATAAGTATATAAGTTATGGCAAGTCCTATGAGGAAGAGCAAGGACATTTAATTTAGATTGAGGAACGTTTGGGAAAAGTGTCCCTAAAGTTGGTATCACTTGGTTAAGGTCAGAAAGAAGAGAGAATGCGAGAGCATCACATGGGAAAGTGCAGGAAAAGAGCCAGTGGAGTTAATGAGTGAAGGGGAGAGAAGTGTGAGACAAAAATGAGAGGTAATTTGGGGGCCAAATCATGCATGGCATGCAGAGCCTGCAAAAGATTATGTGTAATTAAAGTGCCTGACATTTAGTAGCCCATAGGAATACGTCTTGTCTATGACCGCCGCATTTCATGGGAGAAAAATGAATGAGGACCATTGAATTACGTAAGAGGGCAACCTGGAGTGAAAAGAATAGGAGGCCATGAGCCCAGTTAGGAGGTTATCAGAACAGGCAATGGGAAATGATGACTGCTGGTACTGAGGAGGGGCAGGTGGACCTGTAAGAATTTGAGTTAGAATCAGTAGGGCTTTGTAATATTTTTCCCACCTTTATTGAGACATGAATGACAAATAAAAATTGTATATATTTAGGTTGTACTGATTGGATCTAAGTAGTGAGGTAGTGGGAAACCATTAAGCATGACTCTAAGGTTTTGGCCTTGGTGATCAGTTTGTGTGATGACACTATTAAACAAGTAGGAAACACAGGAGGGTGAACAGGTTTGGAGAGGAGGAAAGAATGATTTTGATTTAGGATAAGTTGTTTTCAAAGTACCCATGGAACATCAAACTGAGAAAAAGTGAGTCTGGAGCTAAGGAGAGAGAAGGGAGTTGTAATCACAATGTTGCCTGATGCAGATACAGTAAGAAGTTGAAGTGTTGGGAACGAAGAGATCACTCAAAGAGAATATTGAAATCAACAACAGGAAAAGGTGAGTGACAGAGCTCTCAGAAAACCCACCAGCTTGGGGAAGGGAGCTAGTGAAAGAGACTGGACAAAAGTGATTACACATTTTGAGGAGAAAACTCTGGGGACAAAGTCTTAAGTTGAAGACTATGCATAATGTGTTTAAAAATCAAACAAACAAACAAAAAACTGTGGTGAGTGGAAGCATTAGGTAACCACAGAAATGCAAGACCCAAACTGTAACACTCTCTGGGGAACAATAGCTGTTTCAAAATATGACTGCTCTTTTAAGAAAATTCCTCTGATTACTTAAGGATCCTATTAAAGACATGTCATATCCAAAATATCATTCTGAGATTAATCCTGACTCCATAGCCAGAAGAAATGAAGGCCAGAAAATTTTTATTATGACTATTTCAGATGAGGCAAACAGGCAATGCAATCCAGACATATGGTTTAGTCTGAATTCATTGATGTATTCATTTACTACAGATCTAGTGAACATTTTTGTTTGTAAAAAGCTGAGTTGGGTTGGAATTTTACATAGTCTATTCATATGTTTTTATTCCTTTACCTCACCTTTTATTTGTCAGCCTGGTCAATCGGTATTTTCCTGGAAAGAGGGACTGCACAATTAATTTATTTCAGCTGAGCAAATCCTTATGAAGCTCCTGCACCACACGGCATTGTGCTGTTTGGTGCCTTATGGATATTTTATTAAATTGTGGAGTGTGTTACTCTCAAGTAATTGGAGTTAGAAGATTAGGATTGTTTTCTTAACCTTGAAACTCATTCACAATTTCTGTCTTCACATCAGTCAAGAAGCCACACTCATAAGCACTCATAAAAGCACATATCGTCTACTGCATTTCCGGAGCTATGGACATTGTCTCCCATTCTGTCCAAAAGAGTCTTATAATTGAATGACAAGATGTACACATAAGAAAAGCCAGATAAGAATGTAAAATGATGGACTGCTAAAAAATAATAGCAGAAGATCAACTGCAGTAATAAATGACAAGTCCCCCCCGCCCCCCACCAAATAGTCCAGATTTCATAAGAAGAAGAGGTCTTTATATACTGTTAGAGTTGAGGTAAAGTACCGATGAAATTTAGTCAAACATTCAGGCTTTATCAAAGACGTGCTTCCTTCAATACTCATTACATGTTGTTTCAATTTTTAAAGAGACTCTGACTTGATTTAGACTCCTGGGGTGGGAGAAGGAAGAGGAGCTGCTCTCCATCGAAGCACATGTCTATTGCATCTATTTCTTCATGCCTCGCTCTGGAAGAGTACTGATTGTGTGCAATTCAAGGAACACTAACTTTCTTATTCTACAGCTGTCCCCAGTTCTGCAAGAAATAATTTTGAAAGCTTAGCGCTTAGGAATGTTGTACGGAGGAATTTATAATTGGCTGTTCTCTAGAATCTTCTGACTTCCTCATTTGTGTCAATGTTTTCCTTTTGATTATTTAGTGATAATTAAAAGATCATTTGTTGAACGGAACATTTTACATTCACTCTACAACACACGTGATCACTCCTTCCCAGTCTCATTCACTCTTACCTCCCTAGTCGCAGCGAAAGAGCTCTAAGATTGGCATTATCACCACATTTCTGATGAGGAAACTGAGAAACAAGGGGTGTCAACAGCTGGCAAGAGGTTGGAACCCAGGTTCAAAGTCAGATCTGACCCCAAGACTAGCCTTTTTTCTTCATCTTTTTCATCACTTACCCAATTGACCAGTGTGTCAAGTTGGTTCACAATTTCTGTCAAGTTCTAAGTAAATCAAATCAAGTCTCTGGTTATATAACGTGTTAGCTCTGCATGACAGAATGGTTTTGATACATAAACAAATCAACAAAGTTACCATTTTATCAATGGTTAAGTTATTGGTAAAAAAGTGATTGGTCAAAATTGTTGGTTAACCGTAAGAGATTGTTTATAATTGACCCTAATGAGAATGTAATATAGTCAGTCAACTATTATTAAATTATTTCTTATGAATGCACTTGCAAATAATAGCAATGAGCAAAACCAAATAACCAGTTTTTTTGTTTCTCTCTTAAAGACAATAGAAACACGTTAACTCTTCAAAGTGCCGGGATCCCAATTCCAATTCTTAGGGAGTGAGGAATTTCCCCACCATCACCAGGCAATCCTCTGACAAAAACTGGGTGCCCTACAATTCAACTCATTTCTGATACTATCTACCTGGATATTGTCAGATTCCACAGGTTAAGGGTTCAAGTCCTACAAGACTGTCT